GAAGAGGAACGGAACAGAAACCACTCGGAAACTGGAAAATTAACTAGAAACGAAACGGAAACAAAAAGGAAGAGGAACAAAAACGGAAGAGGGTAGAACGGGAACGGAAGCGGAACAAAACTGAACAGAAAAAAAGAACTGGGGTAAGACCGTGAAGAGAAAAGGGAGAAACATGAAGAGGAGAGGAAGATGAAAAAGGGGAAGAGATGGAAGTGAGAAAGGAGCATGATGAATAGAATTAAGATGAAAAAGAGGGGGTGTGAGAAAAATGGTAAAAGGAAAAGACGAAGAAACAGAAGACGAAGTAGAAGAAGAAGGGGAAAGACAATGAAAAACCGAAAAATAAGACAAAGAAACCCAATAAAATGAAGCAAGTCAGGCAATTAACGAAGATGGGACAAGAAAACGGAGAAGATGAAGAAAACAAGAAAAGGAAGAATGCGGGTAATGGAACAAGATGAAAGAAGCGAAGTGGACAAAAAAGACGGTGGCTAGGGTGCATGAAGAGGACACATATGTACATGTTAATGGAGAGGAGCTAGAGAAGAATGTGGCTGTGGAACAATTTCAAAGTCATATTTAACCAGCGGGTGTGAGCCGACTTCCAATTAATGCAATGCGCAACAAGAACATAATAAAACCTGTTAAAACGCAAAGGAGAGTTTATAGGGTACTATTCTTTTTTATATAACACAATGTGAATCTTCATTTAAATTTTACTTAGAGAACATCTTAAAATTTGGATTAGGTAAAACGTTTCTAACAAATACAGTAGTAGTAAATTTAGCTTGAACGCTTGGATTGATTTTGCTTTGTAAAAGAAGTATCATTTAAAATGACTTCTGAGTTAAGTTAATTTTGAATTAATTCTGTTTGTAAGTGCGCATTCGTATTTTCAGTCCATAATTTAAATACATTCTTACATCATAAATCTGACCACAACATTATTGAATACCCTATAAATGACGATAGTAGTCCCACTGCTTTGTAGTTCACCTGTACCATAATAGTTCTCCTGTTGCACAAATGTTTTTAAACATTTAGAATTAGGTTATGATAATTAGGTATTGTTACATGTAAATTTGAGTGTAAATTTAAAACAAATTATAGCCCCGCATATTAAATTGTTTATATGACTTGTTGCAAGGTTTCGAGTTTGTACTGTCGGTCATTTCGCGAGCCTATAATCGACTTACCCAGAACATGTTTAACAACAAGCTGATTCTCCTGTTCCAGTTTCATGAACGTACCCCAATTACTTTTACCTTCCGGTATTGGATTATTTTTGATCCACCCGTTACACGAGTACGAGTAAAAATCTTCGCACGGATCGGCCGCCGTGTCCATCGCCTGCAGAATCGAACTGGCAATTTCTATACAATTCTTGGTCAGACACGGCTTATGCGCCACATTCGTTGCCACGTTTAAGACCTACGACATTCGTTTGCACTCGACCCACTCAAATTGCTGTGACTCACCGTGCCCTCGCGAATTCGTGTATCGGCCGCCGCCAGTAAGAAAGCCAGCACCATAATAACAAAAGTTAACGTAACCACCAAAATCAACAAGGCCTTCTCTAACAAAGAACGCTTCTTCCACATGCTCGTACTCGTGTAGTACCTTATGTGCGTCGCACTGCTCGTTATCCCTGCAATTTGAAGAGAATTCGTTAGTGTCGTGTCGACACTCACCCGATGGGTACCTTCCCCGAACTGCACACTTCCGACACTTGTGTCATCGTCTGCAAACTCGGCGTGCTTATACTTCGTCATCTGAAACAGCGAGATTCACTGCTGACACAATTCAATTTAATAAATCGTCGGCTACGCGCAAAACGAGAGAGTGTCAATAACGATTGTGATAAGAAGGATATTAGATTAGCGTCCTAAGTGGCCTATATTAACGCATCTCTTCACATTCGCCGCTCTAAAAACGCGACCGCTCAATTCTGGGAGGAGGATACGTCTTATGATAATATTATTAAAATGGTGGAGCGATTTTTAAGTAAATATTTAAACGACGATAATTGCTATTTGTTTAGCGCGATTCTCAATGACGTCTTTAAGATGATAAAAAAGAGTAATAAATTTCGATAATGTAAATAAGACGTACCTTCACACTCATTTTGAAAATGTTCTGTTTCTCTTTATATTGGTTCAATTACGGCGCGCACTAATAAAAAAGGCATAAATTAACGCTTTCATCTAAATATAGAATGAAAGACGCACTTTTGAGTTGCATGTATTTGTATTTTTTGTGCCGACGCCCTTCATGGCAACAAGCGACGTCAGGCGTCTGATGCGAACATGTAACATTATTGATTACCTACTTCGCAACCAAATCATTTGTATACGCGAAAGCTTTTCGTTCGATAGGGGCACGCTTTAGGTTTTCCGGTTTCTGTATGCAAAGTCGAAGCGAACTGATTATAATTTCTACAATTTGAATCGAAATATTCCCAAGGTGACGCAGTGGCGGCAATTTGTTACAAAAATATTCAATTGCTAAAAGAATCTGCGCTAAACTGCTTGCCTTTGCGATTTTTCGTTTCACTTGGATATTTGTCCTCGATCTTGCGGTGGTACAAAAAAAGCATTACAGCGGGGAGACGTAGCATATGGTAGGTACATGTGCAGCGTAGGAATTTTGTTTTGAGGCGGGTGACGCACATCGGCGTTCCCTCGCGCTGAAGATGGCTTTTTTCTCGTTAACACCAAGAGAAAGATTCTTTCCGACTCTCTGGATCTGGGTTATGAGCCCCTCTTAAGCAGCTCTAGACTTGGGCTTCCATTGCTTTAGGGTTGCGGCCGCATCTGGAATACGCTAATATGCTTAGGACTTTCAGGCGCAGGTCTAAATCCTTCTGGAAACTTGTGCCCATCAACATCAATTTGACGCAAAATTTCAAGGCCTCCTTACATAATTTAAATATACAGTATAACATTCTCTACAAGAAGTTATAATTAAATAAATACAGTACGACACTAGTTCAATTTTATAACGAGGCCATCAACAAATAGTAACGCGACTGCCACGCGATACAACAATATTGTTTATAAATACCTTTAATCTTTATTCACCAGGAGTTCAAGATGTTTTCTGGGCACGGGTTTCAATCAGAATAGAAATGGTCCTCCCTCCATCTGTGCTTTACACGGACCGACTATAGAATCCACGCTGTTATTACCCTTTTTCAGTAGGCGGAGCCATCTAGGTACATTGCCCACCAAAACCTAGCATCATATCCAACTGCCGAGCGTTTTCGGATCAACCCTGGAAGTCGGCAGATTGAGGCCTAGGGCAACTCATCACCCATAGTAGTGTGATACGTGTTATCCGATTTTGTATATATTTTAGTATGCATATATGTTGTTCTTTTACTGACTGTATATATAGTGTAATATATGTTCTTGTAAACCACCACATTATTCTATCTGGTAACAGCTGTGTTAGTTACGGACCAACGAAGTACGCCTGCAGCCCCTGCAGGTGATCAACACGGTTCGTCTAAAATCCATTGCCGTAGCCAGCTGTAGTGTACTTAACCCCCAGGTTCTACGCTAACTTCACACTACAAGAACACGGAAATAAATAAGTCAACCCGGCAAAGTTTAAAAATGGCTACCCGAATGAGTATTCCCTCCAAAACTCAAAAAGATCCCGCTTAAATTTGAAAAGCGGCACGTGATCAAACATCTAAGGCAGGAGCCGCCTACGTTAGTTGTAGACAACGCTTTGATCTGAAGCACAGTAGGGAAGGAACGTAAAATAAAACACTCAAATTGTGAAAAGTTTGTTGAATAATGATCGCAATAATTAAGATTGTGAAAGCTCGAAAATTTAAGTCGAAATAAATTACATTGAAAAAATAAACTTTGAAAATGGTAGTTCACCGAATAAAAATAGAAATAGACTGGGACAAAAAGAACTTACCAATAAAAAAAACCAGCCGTCAAATTAATATCAAATTGTGTAGTAAAATTAATTGTTTGTAATGATGTGGACGCGTACCATAAAATTATAACATCACAAAAAGTAGCAGTAAAGGCTAAAAACAAGTTTTGGGAATTATGGGTCAGGTAAGCAGGTACCGAGATTCTAAGAAAGGGTGAAATACACAGGATGTGACTCATCTTTGGTGCAATAAAGTCCTTTTGTTAAAAGCAAGATGGAACATTACATGGCCTTGTAGGCAAATTTAACCAAAAACAAGATCTGTGGAAATTACGAATCGTAACTCATTTATCGCACATAGATTCTAAACTGAAGAGCTTTCATTAGCGTAATGCCGGTCCTGCAAGATAGGTAACCCGCCCCTGGTTTCTCGGGGTTTCGAGTCTACAGTTGAATGTCGAAGACAATCACGGAATTAGGTTCGTAGCTCATTTTGGCTACAGTTTTTACCACTCCCGTGACAGCTTCATTCACGGAGAAAATACATACATACATCAAACGAATCGGTAATTTCCGCACATATTAAAATAAAATGATCAAAACTTATATGAATTGAGATGTCTGCTTTCAAATTTCAAACAAGAAGTTCCGTTACCGTATATTGAGACACCGTTTAAACTACTGTTGCCAGATACCGAGCCACAATTCAATAGCCTTCCCATGAAAAACAATAGGTTTATTATTCAACAATGTATTCATTCTTCGATGTCAGCAATTATAACAATAGTAGTCTGTATAGGGAGGAAATGGGGGATAGATTTAGTTTTGGCCGAGTTAGCTTTTTAGAGTTCACACAGGTTCATTTTTGGTCTTTTTACTGACTGCTTTGGGTAATCAGTTAGGGTAGTGTTCACTGTAACAGAAAGGTAATGTACTTAGTTGTAATTGATTTATATTGTAGATTATGTTACCTTCAGCTAGTTGTAATGCAGGGTAAAGTGATTCTTGAATTTGGTGTAATTTGCTTTCAATGTAAAAGCGGTTCCTGTTTGATTTGTTGAAGATTGGCCAGTTATCAATTTTCATTTGTTTGTTTTGAACCCATTTGGATTGATTAGCGACTTCAATTCTTTGTGTATGAATCGGCCTTTTTTGAGTGTAATTAACCGTTTCGCCCTTGCAGAGGTATATGCCGGAGTGATAAAGATACTTAGCGGCATGTATTTCGAACGACAACTTTAGTCTAAGGTTACCGTATCCAGGATCTTAGATACCTGTTAGATTGGAGGAGGTCTGGCTAATTAATGATGTTTATTTTATGCACTTTATGTAAGAGACTTCGGAATGTATCTTTCACACATGAGAAAGGATTGAAGGTGCTTTTTAAATCTACTTGTAATGGCCATCCTTTAACTTATCAAGTTTGTATTGTATTAACGTTTAACGTCAGATTTCAATCTGTCCAATTCGAGAGTTACTTACTCGGATTATTATTCTTTGTATAACTATTGTAGCTGTGTTGTAAAATGTGTTTAGCGTTATCCTCTCATTCTCCAGATTTTCCCTCTAGATTTCACCTCTGTGAACAGTGAGTCGGAATTTTCTTTAGCACGGTTCTTTTGTCCAACGAGTTCTAGGGGAACCTGGCACTTTTTGGCTTTAAATGTATTCTGTCTAAATTTGTAGGATGTCTTTCGGCCTTTTGATTCATTTTTTACACTTTTGATCGGTTCTTTAATAAACTTTATTTGTGTTTCAAATTCAATTAAGCGTATTATTTGCGTTCCGCCTTTCCAATAATTAGCATGGGTACGAGTGAGTGCAACCTGGCTTTCCACAACGTAGGGGTTCCGGCCATTGTCGAGTGCGAGGTTTGTGTTACTACGCAGGTGTTCCGAGTTCGTGTTTTTCCCGCTTTCGTTAGCGCGGGAGCTGTCGACTTGGGTACATCACAGAATGTTACTTCAGGGACAAGACCAAGTAGCCAACATCAATAAACATACATTAAGCAAGCATTACACCAAAAACGTAAACAATTACAAACAATAGCATAACGGTATCACATATGTGATTATGCATTGCTGTTAAACCAAGTAAATTTCAAAAACAAAGATTCAAACACACAAAAAATATAAAATGTGGCTTACAAAACACAATTATGATATAAAGAAATGCAAAGATTACTCTTACCTGCATTTAAAAACACACAAAATAACAACAAACATTTATGGAGCGACGCGTTCACGACAGCCATTCAGGACATTCTTGGCAGTATCAAACTTCAATTCGTTATTTATTTTATTATTTGTGTATTTAATTTATTCATTTATTGTCCCTCTTTTGTTTTAGGCCCTCAACAGACTTTGGCCCAATTAGAGGGAGACCCGTATAATGCCTTTAGAGGTGCCCCATCCAGTGATGGTTACCACTATCCTGGGCCTGGACTGGCTGCTCGGCAACGAGGCCCTCCCAGATCACGGTCGCCGTACTCTAGCATAAGTAACTGCCAAGGGTAAAAAGAGTACGACGGGGAAAAACCTTGCACAGTTTGATTTGTACAGTCCAAAAGTCAATTAACAAAATCATTTGTAAAATTAAGTGGTTAACAAAGATAGTAAATGCATATTCCTAATTTTGGTTGCACTCAAGGTTAAAAACAAATTTTGGGACCAATGGGGCAGGTAAGCAGGTACCTAAATTCTGAGAAAAGGTGAAGGGTACAGGATGTGACTCATCTATCTATCTTATTTATCGCACATAGATTCTAAACCGAAGTGTTTTGATTAGCGTAATCTTGCCCCCAAGATAGATAACTCGCCCCTAGTTTTGGGATTTCGAGCCTATACAGTTGAATGTCAAAGACAATCACGAAATTAGGTGCCGTAGCTCAAATGATTACAGTTTTTTCCACCCCAGTGACTGCTCCATTCACGGCGAAAATGTTAGTTTAAGAACACATCAAAACAATTCGATAATTTCCACATGTTTAAAAGAATGATCAAAACTTATATGAATATTGCTTCTGATCAAGACCATGTAAACTAAACATAAACATAAATTAAGCAAGCATTACACCAAAAATGTAAACGATTACAAACAAAAGGATAACGGTATCAAATAAATCTGCGTTAAGGTTAAATCAAATCAATTTCAAAAACATAGATTGAAACTCACAAAAACATAAAATGCTTCGTACAAACCACAAATACGATATATAAAGAAATGCAAAGATTGTTAAGTAGACACTAAAATCCACCGTAAAATATAGAACGTGGCAACACTGTAAAAGATAAGTAATGTTGAAATATAAAAAAGAGGATGGTTGCTTTTGTATTCGATTTGTAAAATGTGTTCTAGAATCAAAGTTATATGAGTGAAATTGGTTTTGGTAAAGCGTTCAGAAGAATCAAGAGAAAAGTTAAAAAAGATTACCACCTGCATTAAATAACACCAAAATGACAACAGACATTTACGAAGCGACGCGCTCGCGACCGCTATTTAAAGACAAGATGCCAAACAGAATCAACGTTCGTGCTATCCAGATGGCGCAGGTAGCTTTTCCCCTCCTAAAAATTGCGTGGTTGCCAACTCTCAAAAATGTGATACCTCGGTCACATTACCACGGCAGAAGGAAACCACCCGTGCCACGAGCACGTCGAGCAGCAGAACAATCTCGCGGAAAGTAAGAAATTTCCTAGGATTGAAAAATTTCGGGAGTACGTGTGCGCCTCGCTGTGCAAAAATGCAAGCGCCTCCTACGTCTGGCCCTAATTTTATATTCAAAGGTCTGGCTAAGTGTTTGTTTCCCTCCACTTACTCCACTATTTATAGTCCATAAACGTATGAGTTTCTTATATATTCTCAGACTCATCTTTGGTGCAGTAAAATCCTTTTGTTAAAAGCACCATGGAAAATTATGGCCTCGAAGCGCAAATTAAACGTTGTAGTGTACTTAACCCTCAGGTTCTACGCTAACTTCACACTACAAGAACACGTCAACCCGGCAACGTTTAAAAATGGCCACCCGAATGACTTTCCCTCCAAAACTAATCAAGATCCCGCTTAAATTTGAAAAGTAGCACGTGATCAAACATCTAAAAGGCAGGACACCCTTACGTAGTTGTAGACGATGCTTTGACCTGAAGCACAGTAGGGAAGGACCGTAAAATAAAACACTGAAATTGTGAAAATGATCGCAATTTATTGATTGTAAAAGCTCGGAAATTTAAGTCGAAATAAATTACATTGCAAAAATAAACTTTGAAAATGGTAGTTCACCGAGTAAAAATAGAAATAGGCTGGGAAAAAAAGAACTTACCAATAAACAAACTAGCCGTCAAATTAATATTAAATTGTGTAGTGAAATTAATAATTGTATGTAATGATGTGAATGCGTAACATAAAATTATAACATCACAAAAAGTAGCAAATAAACTTCAAGAGGTAACAATAGGTTAAAAACAAGTTTTGGGAATTATGGGTCAGGTAAGCAGGTACCAAGATTCTAAGAAAGGGTGAAATACACAGGATGTGACTCATCTTTGGTGCAATCAAGTCCTTTTGTTAAAAGCAAGTTGGAAAATTACATGGCCTTGTAGGCAAATTTAACTAAAACAAGATATGTGGAAATTATTGAATCGCCACCCATTTATCGCACATAGATTCTAAAATGAAGAGCTTTGATTAGCATAGTCTCGCCCCCGCAAGATAGGTAGCGTCGCCCCTCGTTCGGTGTTTCGAGCCTACATTTGAATGTCGCAGACAATCAAGGAATTAGGTGTCGTAGCTCAATTTTGACTACAGTTTTTACCACCCCCGTGACTGCTTCATTCACGGAGAAAATTGTTAGTTACAAACAA